GTACCTGCTAGGGCAGAATTTAGCTAGTACTACAATAGATACTTAATTAGTATTGCAGAATTGTTCAGGGGACAGACCATATTGGAAACAAGTTAATTAAAAATGACAAAGAATTGTCTGTTTGCCGCTGTGTTGAAATGAAAGGCCCTGTGGTCTATGGCATTGCTTGGAATACCCACCTTTAAGGCAGATCTACCATAAATAAATATCATGTCTTATAATGATACTGAAGTAAACTGGATTTACCTTGTACCTTATGACTATTCTCCAGTCTGCAGAGCTATTCTAATTGGTGTGTCTTTGGTGTTTTTATAGGCTATTAAAATATATGCCAGTGTTTGCCCCTAAACTTTTTCTTTCTCCCTCTACCCCACCAGTACTCTAATAGATCTGTGTTCTTATCAATATAGATACTCCCTGTAAAATGGAGAATGCAACATAGCCTTGTCTGCTTTATGCTATGGTACTATTGTCCACCTCCTCCATAATTCCACCTTAGAGGGTCCATCCAACATACTTGTATTCTCCTAACATTGTATGGTTAGTAACGGAATACTATTGTTTACCCCTACTCTTGCTATATGACACTTTTTTTTATTCCTAGTTATATGTTTCTATGTCATCCTTTATGCCACTTGTCCTATATAATTCCTCATTTATAGTGTTTTACAGTCTACCTATGTTCATCCTGTGTCTCTCCTGCATCTTCATCTTCAGCTGCTTAGACATATCAAACCAGATGTCCTATAGATATCTTCAACTCAACATGTCCAAAATTAAAATCATTACCTGTGCCCAAAAAAACCCTACCCCTTTCCGAATTTCCCTATTACTATTCCCCCATTACCATCCTCCCAGTCCCCCAGCTTCAAAACCTAGATGTCATCCTCTACTTACTATCTCTCTCCCTCCATATCCAATCTGTTCTTAAGGCCTGTTGATTTCACCTTTGCAACATCTCTATGATACCATCTCTTTTTTCCCTTGAGGTCAGCATCAAGGACTGCACTCTAGTGCAGGCCCTCATCTCCTCATGCCTGGACCTCTTGCAATAACCTGCTGGTTAGTGTTGCTGTTTCAAATCTCTCCCAGTTCAGTCCATTCATTCCACACTTATCAAAATGATCTTTCTGAAGCACATGTCCAACCATGTCACCACCTATTCGATAAACTCCAGTGGCTCCCTAATCATCTCCAAGATGAAATACAAAATCCTGTTGGGCATTCAAAGCCTTCTATAACCTATCCCCCTTTACTCCCCCATCCCCCACCTTTTCAGTCTTCTTCAGTCTTCTTACCTCCCTCCCTTCTTCACACCCCCTTCCCCCAGTACTTTCTGATCCTGGAACAAGACACTCCATCTCTCAGCTCTGGGCATTTTCATTGGCTAACCCTTTGCATGGAATGCTCTCCCTCCTCATCTCTACCATTTTCTTCAAGTCCCAGCTAAAATCTTACCTTCTATAGGAAGCCTTCCTAATTCCTTTTAATTCTAGTGCCTTCCCTCTGTTGATTATTTCCTATTTATCCTGTATATAGCTTGTATGTACAGAGTTGTTTGCTTGTCTTGCCCATTAGACTATAAGCTCCAGGACAGCAGGGACTATCTTTTGCCTTTCTTTGTGTCCCTAGAGCTTATCACAGTGCCTGGCACATAGTAGGTGCTTAATAAATGCTTACCGACTGACTTTTTATTACATTGTCTATTGATCTTTGGGTCATCCTCAGTACAATTCTTTGGAGACTGTCATTTTATGATTCATAAACATACACAGTCACTAGAATGATACTGGTGTGGAAAAAGGTGAGCTTTTGTTTCAGGTACAGGAATTTTCTAAGGCAGTCCAGCCTCTTCAACTCCGTTCAATTCTGGGCCATGTTCATTGTCCATTTGCAGCGTATATCCAAAATATATGTACGGATATACAATCTCTAAAGGTTTTCCACATAACTGTATATTGTAATCTAGACAATAGACATTCTTAGTTTTTCTTGAAAGCTTTCTTAAGATTTTCTTTTTAGTTTATACTTTTTTTTGAAGTGAGACAGTTGGGGTTAAGTGACTTGCCCAGAATCACACAGCTAGTGAGTGTTATGTGTCTGACACTGGATTTGAACTCAGATCTTCCTGAATCCAGGGCTAGTGCTCTATCCACTGTGCTACCTAGCTGCCCCCTTTCTTAAGATTTTCTTGAGGCAGCTAGGAAGCACAGTGGATAGAATACTGGGCCTGGATAGAATACTGGGCCTTAAGTCAGAAAGACCCAAGTTCAGATTTGGCCTCAGACACCTAGTACCTGTGTTACGCTAGGCAAATTTGGCCTCAGACCCTAGTACCTGTGTTACCTGTCTGCCTCAGTTTCCTCAAATGTAAAATGAGGGGTGATAATAATAGTACCTATCTCACAGGGTTGTTGTGAGGATCAAATGAAATAATATTTGTAAAGCACTTAGTACAGTGCCTGGCACATAGCTGGTGCTTAACAAATGCTTATTCCCTGGTTTGGGGACTCTTGAAAGATTATATCTAATTTAGAAGATTTGCAAAGGCTCTGGATCTTGATGCAATCAATACAATATCACCCACAAAAGGAGCATCTGGAAGATCTGCTAGTCGAATGCGTTTTATTAGTCAAACAGTAAGCATGGTGGTTTTTTGTCTTCTCTCTACATATACTTTTTTAGTCAATTTTGGGATTGTAAAGTTGTGGTATACTGTGGCAATATACATATCATTGGTAGAAGCCTTCCTGTTTTCTCTCAAGGTCACACAGCTAGTAAATGTCAAGTGTCTGATGGGAGACCATATTTGAACTCGGGGCCTCCTGACTCCAAGGCCAGTGCTCTATCCACAGTTGCCCCTCTCTTCTCTTTCAAGATGCCACTCAGTGCATGTAAAAATTATGCTCATGAAAATTTTGTCTAGATGGGGAATCAGACATATGGACTAGTAGTTAATGATAGTTTCTAAATTGCCTTTCTTGTTGATAAAAATGTCTGAGCTATTTTCCCTCATCTTGATTCCATTCCTCCCTTTCAGATATCTTAAGAATTGATCCCTCATTGCTGTTTTCTTCTGCTATCCTCAATAAGATTTTACAAATGACTATCTTCTAAACCCATAGTGCCTTTAGCTGCCAAAGCACTCTACTTAGTAAGAAGATCAAATGTTTGCTAATGAGGTGGTTTTTAGGCTCTGCTATTCTCCTTGTTATGGCAATTTATATTTAGAAGTTAAATTTTTTAAGAAATAGTGATAGTGTAATTCATTTTGTCCAATTCTCAACTTCAACAGTAAGGTAGATTGGAGATGCCTCAATTGCATGGCATATTTGATTTTTATTCCTTCTTCTAGCTTGGCCTTAATTTTGATCTTTTTTCTAACAAGCTGATGATAATGACTACACAGATAAGTGATTCAAAAATTGCTTCTCCATTAGTAACGAATTATTTTTTTGTCAGTTAGAATATAATCAATTTCAATTTTTAAATTACATTTTTTGGTGCTTGCCACATACAGGACTTTCGTTCTTTTTGAAGATAGTATCCATGGTATATAGGCAAAGAGGCTTCTGCAATCTATAAGTCTTTGACATCTCATTTCTTACTTCAGAACCAGGTTTTCGAATTTTTTTTAACATTTGTACCTTTGCCCACCTTTTATTATCATCATGGAATATCAATATACATGTTGATTTATTTTGCAGTACTTGGGGTGGGGGAAGAAGCAATCAGGGTTAAGTGACTTGAACAAGGTCACACAGATAGTCTCTCACACAAAGAATTGTACTGAGGAGGATCCCAAATCTGTCTGAGGCTACATTTGAACTTGGGTCCTCCTGACTCCAGGGATGGTGCTTTATCCACTTCACCTCCTAGCTTCCCCCTTTGCAGCATCTTAACAAGTTTTTCATAAAACTTTTCTTCATTTGCAACATAGTTGTTGCACAAGCCGCACTTTTCCTGATGGTCTTTTTTTCAAATACTTAGGAGAATTGAAATATGAGATGACCAAATATCCTATGAAATGGTGTTTTTTTTTGTTTTCTGTGGACATGCAATAAAACTAACTCAGCCAAGTCTTTTATTTTTCTATTCAAGGATATCTAGCAGATTCTTCTATTTAGTTGCAACTTCCTTCTGTGTCTAGTTTGATTTATAATGGAATGCCAAAATTCACATGATTCAGTTCCTTCATGAATACACCTGCTGATCAAAGATCCCATATTTAGTGTGCTAGAAGCTAAGTGAATGTTCCTCTCTAGTTCAGTCCCCCACCCCTGACACCCCAAACAAGATGGAAACCCCACTGCAGAGCTATTCTTGTTTCCAACTTTTCTTATTGTGTTCTTCCTACAGCCAATAGGTATTCAGTTTTGCCCTTTCTTACTATTTTTGTTCAGAACACCTGCTGTTTTTCACCTTGACCACCATTTTGTTTGAACATTTTCCCTCTTTTTAAATTCCCTTATTTTTCAGCTTTGGGCATCAGTTTAATTTGAGTCTTATAATTCTGACCAAGAGCAGATTAATAATTTTCCTTCTGGTTGCCTAGTTAACCTATGATACGTACTATGTGTAAAAGCTGTGGCTTTCCCTGACTATTTCTCTTACCATTATAATAATTCTTTATAGTATTAATGGTAGTAATTGTTTTTTCCACAACCCTGTGACTTAAGTAGTACAAATATTATCTCCATTCCATAGAGAAGAAACTGAAGCCCAGAAAGATTATGTGACTTGCTCCAAGTCACAGAGCTAGTGAGTACAGGATCTGCAATTTAGGGCTCAAGTCTCCTAAGTCCAAGTTTGATACTCTTTCCACTATACTACACTATCGGGCTTGTTCAGTGCTGGTCAAAAGGATTTTTTTTCCCTTCAGGATTTAATAGTTAAAGTTGCATGATTTCTAACCTCTGGACTTTTTTTTTTTAAAGGAAAAGAAGGAAACAAGTGTTTATTAAACACCTACTATATGTGAGGCACTGTGCTAAGTGCTTTACAAATATCTTCTCACTTGATCCTCACAACAACCCTGAGAGGTAGGTGCTTTTATTATCTCCTTTTACAGTTGAGGAAACTGAGGTAAACAGAAGTTAAATTACTTGCCTGTATACAGCTAGTAAGTATCTAAGGCTGGGTTTAAACTCATGTTTTCCTGACTCCAAGCCCAGTGCTTTATCCACTGGATCACTTAGCTGCCTCTTGAGACTTGGTCTTCCTCAAGCTAAAGTACAGTGGTCACTCATGGCTGGATTCCATTATCGACTGGCTTGGGAACTTGGATTCTTCTCTTCTAGTCAGTCAGCCAGTAAACATTTATTGAATGAATGAATATTAAGCACCTATTATAAGCACTAGGGCACAACAAGACAGTCCCTGCCCTCAGGGAGCTCACAGTACAATGGGGGAGAAAACAAGTAAATAAATATGTACAAACAAGTTATATACAGAATAAGTAGGAAATTTTAAAAGTAAGGCATTAGAATTGAGAGGTTGTGAAAGACTTCCTCTAGAAAATGGGATTTTAGTTGGGACTTACAGGAAGCCAGGGAAGGTACTAATCAAGTGGAGGAGGGAGAACATTCCAGGCAAGAAGGACAGCCAGAGAAAATGCCTGGAGCCAAGAAATGGAGTGCCCTGTTTTTTGGACAGCAAGGAGGCTGGCAGCGTCAGTGGATCAGAGGTGGGGAGTAGGGTGTAAATACTGAAAAGCTAGGATGGGACAAGGTTATGAAGAACTTTGAACAACAAACAAATGATTTTGTATTGATCCTGGAGGCAATAAGGAGTCAGTGGAATTTACTGAGTAGGGGGTGACATGGTTGAACTTGTGCTTTAGGAAAATCACTAGGGCAGCTAGGTGGCACAGTGGATAGAGCACCGGCCCTGAAGTCAGGAGGACCTGAGTTCAAATTTGGCCTCAGACCACACACTTGATACTTACTAGCTGTGTGACCCTGGGCAAGTCACTTAACCCCAATTGCCTAAAGAAAAAAAGAAAATCACTTTGGTGGCTGAATGGATTGAGCAGTGAGGGGGAATATTCAAGAGAGATTGTCAAGTTGAAATCAATAGGCCTTGGCAACAGATTGGATATGGGAAATGAGAGATAGTAATGAGAGATAGTAAGGAAACCTAGGTTGTTAAGTCTGAAGCTTTGAAAGTATTGTGTTGCCCTTTACAGTAATAAGGAAGTTAAGAGGGAAGGGGGGAAGATAATGAGTTAAGTTTTGGACATGTTGCATTTAAGATTATCTTCTAGATATCAAGATCTAGATATCTGAAAGGTAATTGGAGATGTGACACTGTAGGTCAGCAGAGAGGTTGGGGCAGGATAGGTAAATTTAAGAATCATCAGCACAGAGATGGTAATTAAATCCATGGGAGCTGATGAGATCATCAAGTAGTATAGAGGGAGAAGAAGAAAAGACCCAAGACAGAAAGAACCCTTTTGGACACCTGTGGTTAAAAGGCCTTATATGGTTGAAGATCCAGCAAAGGAGACTGAGAAGTGATCAGATATGTAAAAGGAGAACCAGAGGAGTGCCCCAAAACCTAGAAAGGCAAAAGAAAAGAGGGTGATCAAGTGTCAGAAGTTGCAGAGAGGTCAAAGAAAATGAGGAATGAGAAAAGGCCATTGTTTTTGGCAAGTATGAGATTATCTTTAACTCTGGTGAGAGCAATTTCAGTTGAATGATAAGGTCAGAAGTCAGATTGTAGTAGGTTAAAAGAGGGTGAGAGGAGAGAAAGTGAAGGCATTTATTGTAGATGGCCTTTTTAAGGGGTTTAGCCACAAAGGGCAGAAGAGATATAGAACAATAGTGAGGATGGAAAGAACAAGTGAGGTATTTTTCTGAGGATAGGAGAGATATGAGCATGTTTGTAGAAGTAAAGAAGGAGCCAGTAGACAAGAAGAGATTAAAGATAAGTGATAGAGTGGAGATGACAGAGGGGGTAATCTGGGGCTCACCATACTGGTGCCAGATTTAATGTGGACACCTGATCAGCATGTTTTACTGCAATTCAGAACTGAGCTTAACTGGGGTTTTAAAATAATAGAATAAAAGATTTATTAATATATGAAGAGTACTCTGGTAGGCACTGAGATACAAAGTTTGCATAAGAAATGGTCCCTGCTTTTAAGGAGCTTGCAATCTATTAGCATAAAACACCAACACAGATTGTTATAATAATATATATTGTTGTTATAATAATATAATATTATGTGATATATATTAGAAATAAGCAAATAACATGTTATGTGAGGTCCAAGAAGACATTACCATTTGGAGGAGCTCAGACAAAGCCTTGTGGAAAAATTAGCATTTAAGTTTGTCTTTATTTATTTATTTTTTTAGTGAGGCAATCGGGGTTAAGTGACTTTCCCAAGGTCACACAGCTAGTACGTGTCAAGTGTTTGGTCTGAGGCCGGATTTGAACTCAGGTCCTCCAGATTTCAGGGCCGGTGCTCTATCCACTGCGCCACCTAGCTGCCCCCTAAGTTTGTCTTTAAAGGTGGGAAGAAGGGTAGGAATTGAACAAAGCTAAAAGGACAGGGAAGGGCACACATTCAAGGCATAAAGAACGCTTTAAGCAAAGGCACTGAGGAATGAGAATGAAGCATCTGTTAGAAAGGAAAAGAGTAGCATAGTTTGGCTGCAGTGTAGAATGTATGAAAGGATCTGATATAAGACAATTAGAAATGTAGGTGAAGCTAGATTATGAAGGACCTTAAATGACAGGCAAAAAAGTTTAAACTTCTAATTAGAGCAATAGATAGTAATTGGTTTTTGGTTTGTTTTTTTTTTTTTTTTACTTTAACAAAGGAGTAACACAGGATCATAGATGTAAAGCAAAACAAAGATGTAAAATATCAGAGGTCATTTAATTCCAGCCCCTTCATTTTACAGCTATAGAAAATGAGGTCCATGGGGGTTAAGTGACTTGTCCAAGCATGAGAAAGCAGGATCCTCTGACTCCACACTTAGGTGCGCTTTGCACTTTTCACAACAGCCCTCCCATGACCACAGAGCTATGCATTATAAAGTTTATTGTGGCACTGGCATGAAAGATGGATTAGGATAGGGGTGGAAAAGGGAGAGACTGAAGCAGTAAGATCTGAAAGGATGTTATCACAACTTTCTAATAATGAAGGTAATAATGAAGGCCCTTATAGGATACTGACTGGATGGAGAAAGAGAGGGGAAGGATGTGAAATGTGTTTCAGAAGTAGAATTGACAAAACTTAGTAACTAAATATGAGAATTGAGGGAAGATTAAAGACAAACCTAAGTTAACAAATGTGAGATAATGGAGGAATAGTGGTAGAAACACTCTCGGTTATTTTCAATCTCTCCCTTTCTACTGGCTCATTTCCTTCTGCCTGTCTCCTTTATCCTGAAAAAAATCTTTACTTGATTCTTCCATTTGCTAACTGTCAAACTATTTCTCTTTCCTCTTTGTAGCAAAACTCTCCAAAAAGGATGTCTACAATAGGTGCCTTCCTTCATGTTCTCTCCCCTCACTCCCTTCTTAACCTCTTTCAATATGGCTTCTAACCTTATTCCACCAAAACTGCTTTCTCCTAAGTTACCAACTATCTCTTAGTTACCAAATTGAATGGCCTTTTCTCAGTCCTCATTCTCCTTGACCTTTCTACAGCCTTTGACACTATTGATCACTCTCCTTGATACTCACTCTAAGTTTTCAAGACATCACTCTCCTGGTTTTTCTTCTACTCATCTGACTGCTCTTTCTGTCTCCTTTGCTGGATCCTCCTATGGATCATACCTTCTAATGGTAGATGTCCCTCTGAGTTCTGTCCTGGGTTCTCTTCTCTTCTCCATCTGTATTACTACACTAGGAGATTTCATGAGCCTCTCATGGACTTAATTACCACCTCTATGCTAATGATTTTCAAATCTACCTTTCCATTCTCTCTGTTGACCTCCAGTCTTGCATCTCCAGCTGCCTTTCAGACTTCTCTGTGAAGAGGTGGGAATTATGTTTTATCATTGATCCTTTGGAGTTATGCCATTAATCAGAGTTCTTAAATCTTTTAAAGTTGTTTTTCTTTACAATGTTGTAAGCATTGTATAAATTGTTCTGCTCACTGTACTCTGCATCAGTTCATAGAAGTCTCCCCAAATTTATCTGATTACATCCTTTTCATGATTTCTTACAGTAAAATAATATTCCATTACATTCATATATCAATCTTTTATATTCATATACCATTATTTGTTCAACCATTCCTCACTTAATAGACACTCCTTAAAAGCCTGTACCTGTTCTTGGATATAATAAAAAGTGCTGCTACTAATATTTTTGTACAAATGGTTTTTCCTTTCCTTCTTTCTTTGATCTCGTTAGGCTGCATACCTAGAAGTGGCACCACTGGGTCAAAGGGTACCCACAATTCAGTGAATTTTACCAATAGTGCAGTAATATGCAAAAGCACTCCCAAAGCACAATTGTCATTTCCTTTTTTGTTATCTTTGACAATCTAATAGGTATAAGATGGAACCTTAGAATTGTTTTCCAGTTTTTATTTTTCTCATTAGTGTTTTGGAGCACTTTTCATATAATTGTTGATATCTTGCTCTTTTCTTTTGAGAACTGCCTTGTTCACATCCTTTTGATTATTTATCTATTGGGGAATGACTCATTTTCTTATGCATTTGATCAGTTACCCCTTTATATCTTTGATATCCAGAACTTGCTGCAAAGATTTTTCTCACAGTTAACTATTTCCTTTGGAAATTTTAACTGAATTGATTTTCTTGGTACAAAAGCTTTTCAATTTTATGTAATCAAAATTGCCCATTTTATTTGCTCTTACAGTCTATATTCTAAGAACTCTTCCCCTATCCATAGTTGTGAATGGTATTTCTTTACTTGTGCTGTTCTTTCTTACTTTACTGACATTTTGAATGATTTCTCAATACACCTCCCCCCCAAAAATATAATTCTTCCTTGTATCAAACAAGTACAGTTAAGTAAAACAAACCAATATATGCTTCAAAATGAGTAGACAACTTTTCCAAGAAGTTTAGTATCCAAGGGGTGGAGCCAAGATGGTGGAGAGATAGGAAGCAGTGCAGTGAGCGTCTCTTCACGAACTCCTCCTCACAGATATAGAAACTGCATCAGACTCACTTATTCAGTGCCATACAAATCAGCTCTTTCTGTGATGGCAAAAAAGTGGAAATTGAGGGGATACCCATCAATTAGGGAATTACTGAACAAGTTGTGCTATATAGTTATAATGCAACACTATTGTGCTATAAGAAGTGACAAGCAGGATGATTTCAGAAAAACCTGGGAAGACTTACATGAACTGATACAAAGTGAAGTGAGCAGAACCAGAAGACCATTGTACACAGCGACAACAATATTGTAAGATGATCAACTTAGCTATTCTGAGCAATACAATAATGCAAGACAATTCCAAAGAACTCATAATGAAAAATCCTATCCACCTTCAAAGAAAGAACTTATGGAGTCAGAATGCAGATAAAAACATACTATTTTTCACTTTATTATTTTATTTCACTTATTTTCATGATTTTTTTGTCTGTGATTTCTTTCACATGACTAACATGAAAATGTTTTGCATCATCGCACATGTATAACCTATATCAAATTCCTTGCCATCTCAGGGAAGGTAGAGGGAAGGCAGGGAGGGAAAAAAGGAGAGAATTTGGAAACCCAATTTTTTTAAATGATAAAAACTGTTTTTGTATGCAATTGGGAAAAAATAAAATATTAATTAAAAAAAAACAACAAAGAAAAGAAAATGTACCAGACTGAAAATCCTGATGGGGAAATGCAAAAAAAAAAAAAAAAGTCACAGTGAGTCCATTGTCCATCCCATTTGGCATAAGGAGATAAACAAGGGAGTCTGTGGACACTAGAGATGGGGGTCCAGCCAGGAGCATGCTGCCTATGGAGCACACAGTCCAGCACCTATGGAGAGACTGCTAAAGGGCAAGAGGAGGTCTCAGATCCATAATGAGTTATCCCTAGACCTACACCTGGGCATGGCAGCTGAGACAGGTGCCAATTGGCAGCTTTGTTGTCCACTACCTAGTTCTGGGTCACAAATTCAGGGTAAACTGAGGAGACCTGTAGAAAGGAAGAAGGTCAGAAGCCAGCCCCAATGCTCTGGCTTAGACGTCAGGCACAAAGCAGGTCTCACTTCGAACATCTAGCCCAGTCTGCAGAGGAAAAACTAGGGTAGCAGTCCCATACCAAAGGGAAGCCTGTAATTCTAACACTGAGCAAACATAGCTTTCTAACTGACTGATAGACACAGAGTCCAAAAGTATTCCACTCTTCCTTAGACAAACACAGATCAAGAACTTGCAAGGCTCAGACCAGGAAGACAGCAATCAGATATTGCTCTGGATCAGGCCACTTTGAGAGCACTAAAAGCTTACAGGTCCCCGGCATGTCCCCGACATGTTCTGATAATACAACATTCAGTACTCCAAGAAAGCAGCAATAGGACCAGCCCAGACTGTCCCTCCAAAAGTATAGCAGAGCCCAGCCCCAGTATGAAATCTGAACTCAGAAACTGGACTGAAAGAATGAGCAAACAGAAAATGAGCTACTTAATAATGAGCTATCATGGTGGCAGGAATGTTTAAGACACAAACACAGAAGATAATGACTCCAAGATATTTACAAGCATTGCTTGTAAATAGAAGAAAAACACATCTTGCACTCAACTGGAGCCTCACAAACTCAACTTAATTCCTTAAACAGATGAAGCAAGCATTTAAAAAAAAGTTTTAAAATGTTTTTATAAATGAAATGAGAATGCTAGAGGAAAAAAAAAACAGAAATGAGAGCTATGGAAGAAAGAATTACAAAAGGAATTAACAGCTTGGCATAAGAAGTAAAAACCTTGCCCAAGCAACAAACTCCTTGAAAATCAGAATAGACCAATTAGAAGCCAATGACTCAATGAGACAACAAGAAATATTAAAACAGAGTCAAAAGGGTGAAAAAAAAAATAAAGATGTCTCATAGCAAAAACAACTAACCTAGAAAACAGATCAAGGAGTAAAAAAATTTAAGAATCATCGAACTATAACCAATCAGGAAAACAATTTGGAACTATGCCCTAGAAGCTATTAAAGTATATATATATACTTTGACAGAGCAATACCACTACTAGGCTTATACCACAAAGAGATCAAAGAAGAAAAGGACCATATGTACAAAAATATTCATAGCAGCTCTTTTGGTTGTAGTGGCATAGAATAAGAAGCTGAGGGGATGCACATCAATTGAGGAATGGCTAAACAAGTTATGGTATATGAATATGATAGAACACTATTGTACTGTAAGAAATGATGAAAGGGGTGGTTTCAGAAAAACCTGGGAAGACTTGTATGAACTGATACAAAGTGAAGGGAGCATAACAAGGAGAACAATTTATATAGTAACAGTAATATTGTTAAAAAAAATCAACTTTGAAAGTTGATTTGAAAGAGAAACTCTGCTCAACACAATGACAAACCTCAAATCCAAAGTACTCATAAGGAAACATGCTATCCACCTTCAGATAGAGAACTGATGGACTCATAGAGCAGACTGAAACATATTTTCTTCTATTTCTTTATTTTTCTTGTTTTTTTGGGGGGGGGGGGGGGACATGGCTAAAGTGGACAGTAGTTTTATGTAACTAAGCATATTTGTAATGGGTTTTATTTTTCTGGCCTTCTCAGTTGGTGGGGGAGACAGAGATGGGAGAGAGAGAATTTGGAATTGAAAAATAAAGAACAAGCAAAGTAAAACCATTCCTATCTCCTTAAAAAGCCAAAAAAACAATCAAGGGACTATCTGAACACCATGACCCAAAAAACGCTACACATCATATTTCAAGAAATCTTGAAATTAAACTATCCGGATCTTTTATAAGAAACCAGAGGGCAGAATGGAAAGAGAAAAAATCCAATGGTCACCTCTTAAAGGAAACCCCACAAGCTCTTTTTGAAGTGGCAAAGAATTAGAATTAGAGAGTGGGCCATCAACTGGGAAATGGATAAACAAATAATGGTATATAAATGTGAAGGAATATTATTGTCCTGAACTGTTATCAGCTTAATTACCAGGATTCCAGAGAACTATTGAAGAAATGTGCTATCTACCTGCTGGTAGAGAACTAAATAAAATACTTTCAGAAATATGTTGGACAATTCTTAACCAAATAATGGTGATCACAAGAGACAAAATAAAGAATTTAGTGTTAGGGAAAAATATGTACATCAAATTTTTCTGAAATGGGTCTGATATCCAAAGTATTTACAGAGTTGACACAAGACATAAGACCAAGATCCATTCCCCAATGGAATAGAATCATAAACTATTAACAACTATACAAAAGACTGCTCCAAATCACTATTGAGAGAAATAAAAATTAAAAGAACTTCTAAGTTTGATCTGACACTCAGAAAACTGTCAAGGGTGACAAAAGATAAAAATAGCTTATAATAGAGAAGACAAGCATGCTAATATATTGTTGGTGGAGCCATGAATTGGTCCAGCCATTCTGGAAAGCAGTTTGAAATTATGTTAAAGAAATTACTAAAATGTCATACCCTTTGTCCCACTGACCACAGTGTTAGGCGTATAATCCTGCATGCCCCACTCCATATCTTCCACACTCCTGAATAGATCAAAAGAAAGGTCCTAGATACACAAAAAATATTAGTAGGAGCACTTTTTGTAGTAGCAAAGGACTGGAAATAGATGCCCATTAACTGAGAAATAGGAAAACAAATCATGGTATATGAATGTAATGGAATATTACTATTCTGTAAGAAATAATGAATAGAATTCAGGGAAGCATGAGAAGACTTTATTGAACTGAAACAGATTGAAATAAGCAGGACCAACAAAACAATATACACAATTTCAACAGTATGTAAATGGAAAACCAAAAATGAACACTGTTTAATTATAATGACCAAGTTTGGCTCTGGAGAAGAGTTGAGAAATTCACCTTCCTTTCTTTGCAGAAGGTTGAGTACTATGGTTATGAAATGTTGCATTTACTGTCAGATACAGTTGATGTGTTTGTTGTTAGTCTTGCTGAACTGCTTTTAATTTTTTTTTGTCATAAAGAATAGAAAGTAGAGGGAAAAAGGGAAATAGAAATGAATATGTTAAAAAGATATTAATAAAAATAAAAGTTATTCCATAAACGAATGTAAAAGTATTTTGGTGGAGGGTTCTTGGCCTAGCTAAATGCTATGACTCTATTGTGACCTGTGACTTTTCACAGAAAAGTAAAATTTAAACTTCATGACTATTAATAGATTTTTCATTTTCACTTTAAAAAGATACCTGCTAATTCTAATATTTTAAGTATTTTTCTCAGCACCTGTATCATCTATAGTAAAAGCATATTAAAAGTACTTATATTTTCTCTTTACAGGAAGTATAAGATAACCAAAATTGACAGATTTGGACAATCCCCTGTTTTGAATCTATTTCGCCTAACTGGTTTTTCAGGAGTGGTACCCATTAATTTATAGGTATGATTCTGTGTAATTACTGATACTACAGTTACTTAAATGTACAAAAAACCAGCAGATTTATGTAATGATAAGTCAGAGCATATATTCATTACTTAAAAGATTCACTTTATGAAGTCTTTAATATATGGGACATGTTGGCCAGGTCTTCCAATAAATGGTTTTGTTCCTTTGATATTCCCCTAGTTTGTTAACTTGTTATTGCATTTCTTACCATTGTATGTTTTGTTCTTTTGTCTTCTCTTAAACTCAGAACACTGACTTTGTTTTTCACTATTGGGATTCCTGCCCTCTTTTCTTGAAATTCTTTTCCTTCTTTGGTTCAGAATTTCAGAATCTGAAGGAACCTCTGTCCATTTAGTCCAACCCTTATCTAATCGTAAAATCCTTTTTACAACATCCCCAATAATACGGTCATCTACCCTCCATTATTCTTTTCTACTGACATTCCACTCTCCCAGTTTTTCTCCTATCTTTCCTGCAACTCTTTCTTCATCTTTTTACATCTTTCAATCCCCTAAACATGAATTCTTACCATAGCTTTTAGCTCTTCTCATGGTAGTCTATAGAGAACTCATCTACTTCCAGCTCCCCAGCTGTATGTAAATGACTTTAGAAATTATCTCTTCAGCTTTTGTATCTATTCCTACATTTCAAATCTGCCTACTGAACACTTCTACTTGGATATTGTCATTTCCTCAAATTAAATTCAACATGTCTGAAACTGATTCTCTCCCCTCCCCCACCAAAGCCAGTATCTGTCCTTGACTTCCCTATGTCTGTTAATGATGCCACCAGTCACCTAGACTCAAAACTTCAAAATCATCATAGACTCATCCAATATCATATCAATCAGATCCTTCTGATGATTTATTCATTGTATTTCTCTAATCTATCCCTTCCATTCAATTCACCCTGATTCCTACCTTACCAGAACTGTTAAAATCAGCTAAGTTATCTTCCTGTTTCCATCATTTTTCTTATCCAATCTATCATCATCTTAATCTTCTTAAACCATTTCAAAATCAGAGAATTCCAGACTTTGAAGGAAACAAAAAAAGTCATCTATTCCACTTGTAAATGAACAGAAATTCTCTCTAAAATATACCATAGTATTCCCCCATAATACAGAACTTGTACTTAAAGATGTATCTAACATCTTACACCATTTTACTTTTGGACAGCTCTAATTGTTAGGAAGCTTTTCCTTACATTGAACAGACAGCTTTGCAACTTCAACCTATTACTCCTAGCTCTAGCATCTAGGGCAAAGCAATACAAGTAAATTCCTTTTTACATATGACAGCTCTTCCAGATTCTGTACTTTGAAACACCATCATGTTCCTCTCCCTCTCCCCACCAAGTATTCTTTGTTCTAGGATAAACATCCCCCAGTTTCTTCAACTGAACTTCATATGGCATGGTATCCAAGCGCCTTCACTATTCTCCTGTATGCTCCCCACCTGTCAATGTCATTCCCAAATGTGGTACCCAGAACTGAACACAATAATTCAGATATGGTCTGACCATGGCATAGTACAGCAGGACTATGACCGCCCTAAATCTGGCAACTGTGTTTCTTAATGCAGCCTAAGATTGTTTTAGTAGCTTTGTCTGCTATTGTTTATTGAAACTGAGCTTGAAGTCTTAAAAACTCTCAGATTTTCTCACATCAGTGTTGTCCAACTATATCTCCCCTATCCTCTACTTAGGCAGTTGATTTTTAAAATCCAAGTGTAGAACTTTACACTTACTCCTATCGAATTCCATCTTATATTTGACCTATATCATTATTGAGGTTTTTTTGGTGCCTGATTCTGTCATCCATTAACTATCTGTCCCAACTTTTTATTATCTATTGAGTTTGAAAAATGTATTTATAAGCCTTTTTTTATACTTGTACTTATATTTGTACTTACAAAACTCTAAATATACAGATGTGATGAATGTGCCTTCATCCAAATCATTGACAAAAAAAGGTTAAACAGAATAGGGCCAAGGACAAGCTCCTTGAGGTGTACTCCATTGGAGATCTCTGTCAAAATTGATATTGATATTCAATAATGGCAATCTCTAACTATATTATCATCAATCCCACGTCTCCATCTAGTTGACAGTAATAAGAAAAGTCAGTGTTGTTTTCCAGATCTACTTCTCTAGTAATTCTGTCAAGGAGAGGAAATGTGTTTAGCCTGTATGACCTACTCTTGATGGAACTAAGTTGACTCTTGGTATGCTGCCCTTTCTAAATGCTCAGAAACTACCCATTTAAAACAAATTGTTTTTAGAATTTCGATAAGAATCTTAAGTCAAGATTACTAATCTATAGTTGTAGATCCCACCCGCTTCCTTATTTTGAAAACTGGGATATTTCCTCATCTCTAATCCCATAGTACCTCTTTCTCTAAAAATTTTATGATTGTTAGCAGCTCAGCAGTGATAACCACTAAGCTATCCTTTGCCTTCTGAAATATCATATACCAGCTTCTCCAGTCCTTTACATGATAAGTGCTAAATCATGTGTGATCCTCACTGTGACTCCTCAGTACTTGATTTTTTCTTTCTGCATGCTTGCATTGTCTTTTCTTAGCTCTGGATTTTAGGGTATCATATTCTTAGAAGTTTTCATTTAAGGGTTTCTTTCAGGATGTAACTGGTAGATTCCTTCTATTTCTACTTTAACCTTTAGTTCCTTAATAGATCTGGGCAGTTTTATTTTAAGATTTGTATGGGATGTCTAGGGTCATTTTTTGGTCATGGCTTTCAGGTAGTCCGATGATGCTTGAATTTTTTCTTCTTAGATCATTTTATTTTCCCAGTCACTTATTTTTGCTAGGAGATACTTTACATTTTTTTACTATTTCAGTCTTTTGATTTTGTTTTATTATTTCTTGTTTTCTTATGAAATCATTGGCTTCTACTTAGTCCATTCTAATTTTCAGAGAATTTGTTGTTTGTGTAAGGTTTTGTACCTCTTGTGCCAAGCTATTAATTCCTTTTCTAATTCTTCTATAGCTCTCATTATTTCCCAGTTTTTTCCTGTAGCACTTTCATTTAATTTATAAAAACATTTTCAATTAAAAGAAAACTTATTTCATCTCTTCTAGAAATTCTACTTCAGGTTGTGTCCAAGCTGCGTTTTTCTCTGAGGTTTTGCTTGTAGATGTTTTGTAGTCATTGTATCTTGAGTGTCCTTATCACTACAATAGCTTTTTATGATGTCAGTTTTCTTTAAAGAATTTTGTTATTTATTTATTTTTAACTTAAAAAATTTTTTTTGAGTTCCAAACTCTCTCCCCTCCCTCTGAGCCTTCCCCTACCCACTGAAAAGGTAAGCAATATGATATCAATTACACATATGAAATCATGTAAAACATATTTGCATATTAGCCATATTAGGATGAAATTCTTTATTTCTTTCCTCATTCTTCCTATTTCCTGGCTTTGGGCTTGATGTTTGAACTGGGCTTTGCACACTTTTAGAGGGAGGGTGTGGGCAGATCCTGTTGTTACTTTCTTGAGGTGTTGAATGTTGTATTATCCCAGTGTTTCCATAACATTGACAGCTCATACTGAGGACCTGCAAGCTTTCAGCGCTTACAAAGTGGTTTAATCCAGAGCACAGTCCAATTGCTGCACTCCTGATCTGACCTGGGTTTGGTTCTGAGTAATAGTAGACTACTGCTGGACTCAGCTACTATCTATCAGCTGAGAAGCTCTGCTGGGTCAGAGTGACAGAATGTAGGTTCCCTTGTGGTCTCGTATTCTTCCTGTGGTTATTCCTCTGCAGGCTTCAGACTAGCCTGGAGGTTAGAACCAAGACCTCACTTTCTTCCTGGACTCTGAGCCTCACTGTTGCTGCTTGCATCTGAACTTATTCCTCTTACTACACTTACTACACTGTGTAAGGCATGCAACTGCTTCTTTATGCTCCAGAATAGAATGGAATGCCACTCTTAAGCACAGGTCCTCTCCTCAGTATGGCCTCAGTCTGACCTGGAACTGGGTAGTGGGTGACACACCTGCCATTTGGCACCTTTTCCTGCACCCTACCAGGTCACAGTGGCCTAGTGTGATTTTGGGACCTCTTCTTGGGATGGAGCACAGCCTCTTCCTAGGATTCCTGACCAGACCTTGTGCCCAGTATTCACAAACCTGTCTGTTTCCCTAAGATATCCTGGGCTGGAAAAATGACTCACTGCATTGTGTTTTCCCTCTTGGATTTCAGTCTGGTATATTTTTTATATCTTTTTGGTAGAGTGGGGGGTGGAGAATCTTACTTTACTTTTTCCTGCTATTCCAACATTTTGGCTCAGCCTCACCAATCTGGCTTTAACCCACATTCTTTCAAAACTCAACCCAGCTGCTACTTTCTCATGAAACTTTTCCTGATATCCCATTTTCCTTCTCCCTTAATTCAATTCCACAGGAATATATTAAATGATTGTACTGTGATAGGCATTGGGGATATGGAGATAAAAATGAAAAACAGACCCTGTCCTCAAGACAGTCAGCCAACAAACAAGGAACTCCCTTTTAATATGAGACATCATATAAAGAGATAAATAAATGTAAGATAATTTGAAGAAGGGGCAGGAAATCAGAGGAGACTTCACGGAATAAGTGGCACCTAAACTGATCCTTGAAGGAAACTAAAGACTATAAGAAATGGAGGTAAAGAGGGTGTTCATTCTAGATATGAGAAACCATCTTGAAAATGAAGGTAGGAGCTAGAATACCAAGCTACTGTAATTTATATTTTATACTGCAGGTATTAGGGTACCACTGAAGATGCTTGGGCAGAGAAATGACCTAGTAAGATCATTTGTGCTTTAGGAAAATTATTTTTGGTAGTTATGTGGAGGATAGATTGGAAAGAAGAGAGCTTAGAAAGCAGAGAGACCAATTAAAAGCTAGCATAACACTAATAGCACTAATCCTAGCATTTATTTTGTGCTAAGGCACCAAATTTGCAAAGATTTGCAAATACTATCTCATTTTATTCCTACAATAGCCCTGTGAGGTGGGTGCTTTTATTATGCCCCTTTTTAGAGGTGAGGAAAATGAGGCAGATAGCAGTTAAGTGATTTGCCCATCATAGAGCTAGTAAGTATATGAGGCAGGTCTTTCTAACTTCACGCCCAGTTCTCTAATCCTCTGCACCATATAGCTGCTTATAAAGGTTTCTGAGAAAGACAGAATACAGGTATAAAATGAGGAGACACTGGCTGTATTGGTTTGTTTTGTTTCCCTTATACTTCTTTGTTACGAGGGAAGGGCACAATAAAGCATTTATTAAAAAGGAGTTTAACAGTTAAAGAGTAGAGAGATGAGTCAATAACTGGATAGGATAAAAGGATCAAGGGAAGGGTTTTTGGATTTTTTTTTTTAAGATTGAGGAGAACTGAGAGTGTTTATGAAGATGGGAAGGAAATACTCACAGAGGAGATATTGAAAATGTATAAAAATTTGCTAGGATGGAAATTAGATCAGAAATAAGAACTCTAAAAAAAAAGAAACATAACAAAGTATATAGCTTAGAATATATAATGAAGTATCTCTCCAAACTAGTAGAAGCTCTTAAAGACAGGATATGCAAAGATAATTTAAGGATTATAGGTCTTCCAGGAAAACATGATAAATTAAAAAAGGCTTTATTGCTATATTTCAAGAAACAATATAAGAAAAACCTGCCTGTAAGTTTTGAAAAAGACAGCAATGATTGCAGATTGCTGATAATGAATTTCAAAACAACAATACCAAGCAACAAATTTTGCAAGCAGCCAAGAAATAGGCCTTCAGCTATGAAGAAAAGCCAATTTGAATAACACAGAATTACTCCATCTACAAGAAATCAGAAGAAAGACTGGACTAGGTTATTCTAAAAAGCAAAGGAGATCAGGATGTTCCACCAGTAAGATATTCTATAAAGCTGAATCTAATAATCAAAAAAGATATATGCAAGCTCAATAGAAGAGAGATGTTTGAATTAAATTGCCTCTTAAAATTTAAGGATGACAGAATTCTGGCTAGAGAGTGAGCACAACTGATTAAAAAACTGGTAAGAATGTATTTACAACTCCAATAAGAAATTTAAAACTAAAGTGAACAGGGGAAGGAAGATACTATGTATATCCTTCAAGTTAATACCGTAGGGAGTATATCTACAGTGAAGCAAGAATAGCAATTGAGGTCCACCTCCCCCAGAAGAGAACGTCAAACAAAATCCAGGGGAGAAGACTAGAAGTAAAATCCATGGTCTAAAATGTCTATAAATAAATGTCCAAAGTTTAGGCAATAAATAAGAAAGTAGAAGTCCTAATGCAAAGAGGAAAATTTGATGTCACTGATATAATTAAGATTTGGTGGGATAAAACATATAACTAGACCATTTGTTCTATATGGGTATATATTATTCAGAGAAATAGCACAGGTAAAAAGTATGGGGTGAGATAACATTATATAAGGTGGTGCAGTGGATAGAGTGCCAGGCCTCGGGTCAGAAAGACTCATCTTCCCACGCTCAAATCTGGCCTTAGACACTTACTAACTATGTGACCCTGGGCAAGTCACTTAACTTTGTTGGCCTCCATTTCCTCATCTGTAAAATAAGCCAGAGCAGGAAATGGTAAACCACTCTAGGATCTTTTCGAAGTAAACCCCAAATGGGGTCACGAAGAGTCAGACACAACTGAACACCACCACCACCACCACCACCACCAAATATTTATATAAAGAAATCTAGAAACCAGAGCAGGGAAGCATGTTGGAGAATATTTAGGTGAGGTCAATGGAGGAAGAAAAAGTGATTTTTGTCAGTGGAGTGTACTATAGATCACCTGGACAAAAAGATGAAATTGATGAGAAATCTGGGAGATAGATCACAAGTGTAATAGAAAGGCATAATATAGTAGTGATAGAGGACCTCAGTTATCCAGACCCTCTGCTGACAAAAGCAAAGCAAGTACATTTTTTATTTGCCTTAATAATTTTATCCTTCAAAAGATGGGGAATTTGACATGGAGAGATTCAATTATGAATCTGATTCTGAAGCAACTGATTCTGGAGTAAAAATGATGGGAACCCTGGGAGAGGGACGAGAGAAGAATGATGAGTCTCTCCTAGAGTTTGTGAAAGAGAAGGATAGGAAATCCAGGAACAATGTGATATGTACCCTACATTTTGGCAAAGCAGATTTTAGAGGGTTAGATAGGGAGATATTCAAGAATGAAATTATAAAGACACAAAAGGCAAAAGAGGAGCAAAACAGGATTTGTCTGAAAAGACCTATGTGGTTGAACAGGGAACTTACCAGACAACTTAGATTTAAATGTACAAAAGAAGGAAATTTACAAAAGATGGAAGCCAGGCCAGTTAACAGAAGATAAATATAAAAGTGACAGTCCTTGAAAAATAGTATCAGGAGTTTTAAATATCAGAATAAGCTGAGGCTCTTGAGGGAAGGGTACTTTGGGTGGTTTGGTTTTGTTTAAAAGCTATATTAGGAGGAAAAGGAGAATCAAGAAACGGATAGGACTTTTGTTTGGGGTCAGTGGGATGCTGATTACTGACAGTAGATAGGAGAACTACTCAATTATTTTGCTTTTTTTTCTACCAAGAAGAATGACCTTAGCACTGTAAATGAGAAAGCAAAAATGACTAACAGAATTAATACCAAGATAAGTAAGTAAGGAGATACTAAGAGAGCTAGTTCTTAGTTGCTCTTTGATGAATTTAAGTTACCTGGCCCAGATGAACTACATCCTCAGGTTCTTAAAGAGCTGGCAGATGTAATTGCTGAGCCACCATGATATTTGAAAGATTATAGAAAATAGGAGAGCTATCACAAAGTTAAAGACTGGCAAATATTCCAATTTCTGAAGAAACGAAAAGAACATCTTCAGCAAGGTATAGCCAGTGTACTTGGACTTCAATGAATGGACTTAAGTTTCTGGAAAATTCTAGAGCAGATCATTAAAGAGATTGTTGGAGAACATCTAGAATGGAAAGAGAGAATTACAAAGAGCCAGCATGGCTTCATCAAGAACAAATTGTTATAGACTAACCACATTTTCTTTTTGGACAAGATAACTAAACTAGTTGATGAAGGAAATGTTAGGATTTAGTTTACCTAGATTTTAGCTAAGCTTTTAATAAAGTACCTTATGTTATTCTGGTAGAAAAGATGGAGTTATATGAACTAGATGATAAAACAATTAGATACATTCAGAAATGGTTGGATAGATAACCAGTTAAAGAGAGTTGTTGTTAATGATTTAAGGTCAAAGCGACAAGATGTCTTCAATAGAGTTCCCTAGAGAGCTATGCTTGGCCCTATGCTGTTTAACATTTTTATCAATAACTTGGATAACAGCAAAGATGACATGTTCATCAAATTTGCAGATAACACAAAATTGGGAGGGATATCTAACAGGTTCCAAAAAGATATTGACAGGCTTGAGCACTGGACTGTAGTAAGATGAAATACAGTAGGAATAAATGCTTCATATTTATCTTCTTTATGGCAATATAAGCTACAGCAAGCAAGACTCCTTACCTTCAAGGAGCTTATATTGGGAGGTAGGGTAGAGAATACACAAAGAGGAGTTGGAGGGGGAAGGAGATACTGAGCGGGGCAGCATGATTTGAAGCTGGTGGCCTACAACTGAGGTGGAAACTTGGTTCCAAAGAAGATAAATCCAAAGCAAACTTATTAGATAGGGCCTGGAATAAAGTCCAGATTTCCAGTAAGGAGAATAAAAGATTGAGAGAATGGATAAGAAAACAAAACCCTAAAACCTTGCTAACAAGAAACATATTTCAATGTCCTCTTTTTTGGAGGAAGAGAGGGATCCTATAACTAGGTCCCCTTTTCCTTTCATTCTATGCCATCTCCCCACCCCTCCACTGAAAAAGAAAAAAGAACCCCTCTAACAAATATCCATAGTAGAGCAAAACAGATCCCCACACTGGCCATGTCTGAAAATGTACATCTTTTATTTGATATACCCCCATTTTACATTATATCTTATTCTAATGAAATGATTTTGTTCATGGAAAATTTTTTAAATATTATGTAGTCAAAATTATCCATTTTGGCTTTTATGATCATTTCTATCTCTAGCCATAATTGTGAAAAATTGTTGTTCACTTGTTTCTCACTCTGTGACCCCATTTGGGATTTTATTGGCAAAGATACTGGAGTGATTTGCTATTGCCTTCTCCAGCTCATTTGACAGATGAGGAAACTAAGGCAAACAAGGTTAAATGGCTTGCCCTGGGTCATATAGCTAGTGTCTGAGGCTGGATTTGAATTCAGGAGGATAAGTCTTCCTAACTCCAGGACCAATGTTCTGTCTTCTGCAGCATCTTGCTGCCCCAGCTGCTGTTAAAAGTACCTACTTCTATTCTCATATGTATTTTTTCATACATATTGGCTTAAAGAAAATATCTAGAATTGAAGCATCTATTTTTGTTGATAAATGATTATCCTTGCAATTAAGTTTGGCAAAGACACAGCCATCAAAATATTCATGATTAAACTTTTGAATAAATGATGGTTTACTTTCTATTGACTTCCTAAGTATAATACTTCAGTTCAGACTCAGCATCATTAAAATAATCATAATTAAAGCTTCTGTAAAATTGACTTTTTAAAAGCTAGAATATTTTTATGGTACTTGTGTGTGTGTAGCCTCTAAAATTAAAATCTGTGAATGAGGAAGATTATTACCAAACAAAATATGGTTTTGTGGGAAGAAGAAAAGTTTAAACAGAATCCACTGATTATGATTTAAATTAAATCACTCTTTAAAAAGGCAGTCTCATTTATTTTTAGATAACTGTGTTTTCCATTTCCTCAGGGATGGAGATTGCCTCTCATCAGTCTCACCTGTTGCAACAACTTAATGAGCAGCGAAGGCAAGATGTGTTTTGTGACTGCAGTATTCTAGTTGAAGGGAAGGTCTTCAAAGCACATAGAAATGTGCTATTTGCAAGTAGTGGCTACTTTAAAATGCTTCTTTCTCAGAGCTCAAAGGAGACTAGTCAGCCAACCACAGCTACATTTCAAGCATTCTCACCTGATACTTTTACTGTTATTCTGGACTTTGTATATTCAGGCAAACTTTCTCTCACTGGTCAAAATGTCATAGAAGTGATGTCAGCTGCTAGTTTCCTTCAGATGACTGATGTCATTAGTGTATGTAAGACCTTCATTAAGTCTTCACTTGATATAAGTGAGAAAGAGAAGGATCGCTATTTCAGTCTCTCAGATAAAGATGCCAATTCCAATGGTGTAGCAGAACGTTCTTCTTCTTATAATGCAGGGTGGTGTGGAGAAAGCAGCCCTCCACAATCTCATGTAAGTCCAGACCAAGGAACATGTACTATGAGTGGAAAAACTTGGAGTAATTACAACTACTATCCAGCTTCCCAAAGGAGCACTCAGCAACACCCACCCAAACATGAACAAAGACAAGATTCTGTTAAAAAGTCCAGGCATTTGGGATTACCACAGTCTACAGATGTTCCTCATTACAAGTCAAGCAAGCTTGAAGAGCGAACTTCTGAGCCTCCTAATCACACTCCTCCATCTGAAGAAAAGGTACAAAATGATGCTGAAATTGACTTCCCTCGTGTGGGGCATAAGTATGGCAAAGTATCTGATGTTACACCCAGAAGCCTACCAGGCTCCCAACAAGAACAAGAATCCTCTCGATCTACATCCAAGTCACCTAAAACTGATGAACCATATTCCAATATGCCTTTAATTTTAGGTGTTATGGGCAGCTGGAATGAAGGTAAGAAGTGATTACTTATAAAATCTATACCCATGATTTTCTAATAACACCATACTTTACAATTAATTACCAAGTTAAAGAAATCATAAATAAAGGGAACATAGTTATTGAATACATTTACTGACAGCCAAGAAATTAAAAAGACAAGAGACAGTGAAAAATATACTTTTCTATTACTACACTAGAGAGATCGCTGTTAAATGTTCTATCGTAATTTCTAAACAGTTCAGTCTTTTAAAACTGATATAAATGTTTTATTCTTTCCAAATAATTATAGTCATCCAAAAAGACCTGAATATAAAATTTTGATAAAGGAGAAGGAAAATAAAATGATCATGTAAGTTGACATACATTCTCACAGGCTCAATAACTAAGAAATTAGATTAGCTCTAAGTCCATCAAGTTATAACTGAACATTGAATAAAAATTGTGCATACCTCCTGCCATACTCCTTTTTTCCTGGTACTAATACTATACTTTTTCATGTGATTAATATATGCCTCATTGACAAGGTACTGGTAAGTGTACAAGGGGGAAAGTGGCAAAAATTTTCCACATTGATAGTTTAAAAAAAAAAATCACAAGCCCCAAATAGTCACGTCAAGGATTATCTATTAAGCTCCTCTTATGTGCTACGCACTGTACTAATAAAGCACTAGATATACCAAAAAAAAAGGGTTATAAAAAAGAGTTCTTGCTTTCAAGGAGTTCATAGTCTAATTAAAGAAAGCTACTCAAATAACTATGTTCAGACAAGATATATACAGGATGAGTAAGAAAGAATCAATAGAAGGAAGGCATTAACATTAAAGAAGATCAGGAAAGGTTTCTTGGAAAAGATGGGATTCTAGCTGGGACCTGAAGGAAGTCAAGGAATGTAGGAGATAGAGAATTCCAGGCATTAGGGACAGCCAGTAAAAATGCATTGAGCTAGGAGGTGGAGTGTCTTGTGCAAGGAAGCCAGTATACCTGGGTTACAGAGAATGTGGATGGGAGTAAGGTATAAGAAAACTGGAAAGTAGGAAGGGACCAGGTTATAAAGGTCTTTTAAAGACAAAGGATTTTTTGTGTTGGTCATGGAGGTAAGCTGTTTAGGAATTTTCTAGGTATTTAAAAATCGTTGGTCTTTTACAGGAGAGCAAAAAGTCACCTCCTCTCTTTTCCACCTCCAGTTTGGATAGTACTGGAATTATAACATACTGATAACATGACTAATTTGTTAATTTTTGTTAATTATAGGTTAATTGCCCCAATAATATAGACAATCTATTTTAAAAGGCTATTAAACTGATGCAGTTTGCTTTTGTGACAAATTCTCTCTTTTTTTTTTTGTTAACACTTTTAGTCTTTTATAGAGACAGTATGGCATATAATGGATAGAGTGCTGGGCTTGGAGTCAGGAAGACCTGGATTCAAATCCTGCCTCTGACACTTACCAGCTGTGTAACCATGGGCAAGTCAGTTAACTCTGAGCCTCAGTTTTCTTATCTATAAAATAGAGATAATGATCTATATAGTACCTAATTCACATAGCTGTTGTTAAAACCCATTCAAGATAATGCATATTATCTTTGCAAATTTTAAAGTTACAGTATGTCAGGTTTTTTTGTAATACAGTGGACAATAACTGAAATTGCATATTTCCCTATAAATAGCAATTATTAGCTCTACTTTTAATGAACTTAGACCACCAAAATAGAGCTAATAATATACATTTGTATATATTATATATTTAACACATAAAGCCTACTTAAAAGATTAAATTTATCTAGTAGTAGTGATTTGCCTATTTTGATCCTTCTAGTTTCAAAATGCAGTATTTTTCAAAAATATAGTAAATTAGGGGAATGTACTTAACAAATATAGCCAAATTCATTTGGTTATTAAATACATAGCCTTAATAAAACTTCCCTTAAGTTTAAAAAAAGTCTCTGCAAATCTTTTGGATTTTTATATGCTATTAGAATCATTGTATAAACTCACTATTTATTTAATGAGATTGTTTTATAACAGATGAACTGCCTAGAATGAGATTCAAATGCCCATTCTGCACACATGTGGTGAAACGGAAAGCAGACCTAAAGCGCCACCTTCGCTGCCATACAGGAGAACGGCCTTACCCTTGTGAGGCCTGTGGGAAGAGATTCAGCAGGCTAGACCATCTAAGTAGCCATTTTCGAACAGTACGTATTTGAAAAATCTCAACGTTTATTTTTTAGTAATATGTATCTGTGGATATTAGGACAATAATATAGGGCAGCTATTTTATAAACAGCACATAAAGAGCCAGTGCTACCATAAGGCAGCCAGGATATTGCCCAAGGTACAAACAAACATGAAGGCATGCTTCCCCAAACCTAAGGCTGCTATCCCATAGGGTCATAAGGCCTTCAAGTCCCTTTCCTAGTACCTACTTACTTTCTTTTTTAAAAGGTTCTACTGATGTGTTTTGTTTTTACATTACAAGCATTTACAGATTACTTCTACTTTGGGGTTTCTTATAACAAAGTAAAATCAGTAAGTAAAATTAATAATATAGTGACCTCATCTGAAAGTTCATGCAACATTTCATATCTGTAGCATCTCCTCATTTATTTTTAAAAAATTAACAAATCTATTTTCTCCCTCACACTTTCCACTTTATTGGGTAAAAAAACAAATTTCTTGTAATAGACATACATAGACAAACAAAATAAATCCCCTCAATGGCTGTATACATGTGTGTGGGTGTGGGTGTGGGTGTTTGTGGGTGTTTATATACCCTAAAGTCATAACCTCTATGTATGTAATAGATGTCATTATTGGTCCTCGTGGAATCAAGAATGATCATTAAATTTACCATAGTTCTTACAGCTTTTAAAATTATTGTATAAATTTTTCTGGTTCTGCTTATTTCATTCATCAGTCTATGAAAGTCCTCAAAACAGGTCATTTTCATAATATTAAAGTTAAGAGTATAAATTTTACTTCACTCACCATCTGTACACATAAATCTTTACATATCTTTTTGAAATTGAAATCATCCATTTCCTCATTTCTTACAGTACAACAATATTTCATCACATTCATATACCATAACTTATTCAGCCATTCCTCAATTGTTGGACATTTTCTTAGTTTCCAGTCTTTTAGCATTACAAAAAGACTGACCTGAGGACCAATGAAACACAGAACACCTACAGTCATCAAGGGGAATCAGTGTTGATACTGGACACTGTCCTCTCACATCCCCCATTCCCTGCCCCCAACCCCAGTAAATTCAGCCCTCAACCTCCCCAGTTCTTATCTACCTCTGCCCTTCCTTAAACTGCATTTTATTCCCAGATTTCTTCCTCTCATTTTGCTTCCATTTTCTGATGCTCATTAAAACTTAGCTTCATCATGAAAACCTGTTTTGACACTTTCTTCAAGACTAATAGATTTTTAATTTCATACCCATTGACACACTAGGGCTAGGAGAAGTTGGTATAATACTTTCACCTACTGCCATTTTCAGACCATTTCTCTGCCACCATCTTTCTGTAAACATCACTTCATCTTGTTATCCTTGTTGCTTTTAATTATGGAACTCCAGATCAGGCTTCCTCTTCTGCACCAAGTTCAATACCTGGCTCAGTTGTGTTCTCCAGCCATCTTTGAATATCTTGGTCTCCTGGTTCTTCATGTCCCCAGCATTCAAGACTTGTGTTTCCAGGTTATCTCAGCTGCTCAAGAGAAGGTCCTACCTACCCCTTCATCTCAATTTGCCTCTAATACTAGAATTCTTGCTTGTTTTTTTTTTTGTTTTTGTTTTGTTTTTGGAGATAACTGGGGTTAAATGACTTGCCCAGGGTCACACAGCTAGTAAGTATCTAAGGCCAGGTTTGAACTCAGGTTCTTCTGACTCCAGGGTTGATGCCCTATCCGCTGTGCCACCTAGCTGGAATTCTTAATTATGGCTCTGGTTTCCTTTGGACTTAAGAAATTATCAACTTAAAATTACCCTACATACTTCAAATACATAAAGGATCTGTGATGTTATTGATATATATACTTTTTCCACTAGTACAGATAGTCTTTTTTTTTTTTTTAAGAATTTCTGAGGCCAAAAAAGTCATCAGTTAGTACCCAGGCCTCTGGTGGCCTAGATAGTATCACTTTAGACCACTCAGCCTGATTTCAATTTCTGACAAAGTCCTGGAAGGCATTATTAAAAGGAAAGTTAGTGACTATCAGAGATCACAGAGAGTTTCATCAGGTTTCATCAGGAAGAGGTCTTGCCGGACTAATTTCACTTCCCTTTTTTGACAGAGGCACTGGACTCACAGATCAGAGGAATAATGATAATAGTTTGCCTAAATTTTAGCAAAGTATTTGATAAATTTTCCAGTTCTTTTCTTTTGGATGTAGATAGATGGGCTAGATGATGGCACAGTCCAGTGCATTTTGAACTGAATAAATGACTAGACCTAAAGCGTAATTGTTAATGAGTTAATGCCAGCTTGTAAGAAGGTCTCTAGTTAGGCACCTCACAGGTATGTGCCTAGTCTTGTGTTGTTTAACATTTTAGCAACAGCTTGAATAAAGACAGAAATTGTATTCTTATCCAGTTTACCAGTGACCAAAGCTGGGAGGAATAGCTAACACACTGGATGGCAAAGAAAGGATTCTAAAAAAATCTTGACTGGGTTGAAGCAAAAAAAAAGCAGAAATTTAATAGGGAAAATATAAATTCTTACACTTGAGTTCAAAAAAATTAACTTCACAACCACAAAATGGAGCTTCACAGCAATTTGTCTGAAAAAGATATTTTTCATAGACTAAATGTTCAATGAGACAACAGTGATGTGGCAACTAAAAAGAGCCTTTGAACTGCATTAGAAGAGGTTCAAGTATCCAGGAATAGGGAATTGAGGGTCTATCATTATTTTGGCTTACATCTTATCCAGAACACGATATTCGGTTCTGGGTGCCACATTCTAGAAAGAATACACATGAGCTGGAGATTGTCTACAAGAGGATAACCGGAGTGGTAAGGGGCCTTAAGATCATGCCATATTCCTACTGAATGAAGGAATTAGAAACGTTGAACCAAAAGAAGAGAAAACTCAATAGTTATTTTTAGTATAATAAAATACTATATTGAAGAAAGATTAGCCTTGCTCTACTTGGTCTCAGAAGATAGAACTAGGAATAATGTATGGAAATTGCAAAAAGGCAAATTTAGATTTTACTTAAGGAAAAATTTCCCAACAATTAGTTATCTAAGAGTAGAGTAAGTTGTATCATAAGGTTAAGGGTTCCCGGTCCCTCAGTGGAGGACCTTAAGCAAAGGCAGGATGACCCCTGGTTTAGTATGTTGTGGAAGAGATTCCTGTTCAGCTACAGGTTACGCTACATGGTCTCCAAGATGCCTCTCCAACTCTCTGATTCTATAAATAAGGTTCCCTGAACATAGCTACACTGATTCCCAGAAAACATATATAGTTCTTGCCACCTGCTTTTCCTCTCATTTCTTAATTCTATGTATTATGTAATACTTAATGCCATGTACTAAGTTCACAGTGGTTCTAAGACCTAATGACAGATTTAAATTAACTGCTAAATAACATAGAGGATAATACACATTCATATGAAACCCATTAAATTCTTATGTATCATTCTTCCACAAAGGAAAAATAATTTTTTAAATAAATACTTAGGTCGGTTCCATGTGGTCAAACTGAAGCAGCATAAGACACTATAAGATGGCCTCATACTTTGAATGTCTGTGCCTAGTCTCCCATTAGTATCTCTAGAAGGCTTACCTTCCAAAAATGTTGGAGACCCTGGCCTAATAAATCAAAGAACCTAGTGATTTGAAGCAATGTCACTATTAGAACTGACTATTCACACTACAATGCTGATTTATTTCCAAACCTGATTCCGTTTATGTTCTATACATAAATTAATACTGTCCTAAAGAATATTGTCATGGCAGGCCCACTTCAATTGGGACAGAAGAGTCAGGTTACATGTTTGGGGGTTTTTTTGTGTGTGGGGGGGGTTGTTTTCTTTTTTCTTTTTTTTTTTTTTTTTTGGTGAGGCATTTGGGATTAAGTGACTTGCCCAGGGTCACACAGCTAATAAGTATCTGAGGCCAGATTTGAATTCAGGTCCTCCTAACTCCAAGGCCAGTGCTCTATCACTATGCTACCTACCTGCCCCTGAGTCAGGTTACTATTAACATAGAATTGAATTCTATGTAATTAAGCATTTTGACAACCCTTTAGGTTTTCAGATTCTGTTAATCAGAAAGATGATTTCTAAGTAAACAGGTTACAGCATAATTATTACTAGCCCTAATTGTGTTGTTGTCAAATTTTAGAAAATCTACAATTTGATTTGTTTTCAGGGTTTTACAACTAAAACTAAAACTTCTGCATATTCCACTCAGTAAGCTGTCATCTAAAGAGAAAGAGAAAAGAGTTTTCTTTCATTTGCCAATTGATCTATCACCCACTAATGCAAAGTAAAAGGGTATAACAGCACTCTTCCTTCAACTAAATTGCTGTGTAGTCTGTGTCTCTACTTTTCCTAGAATGAACTATCCTGGCAGTATTACTGCTGCCACTGCTATTTATTTAGACATTCTTGTTCTGCCCTTCTGACTCATCTATAAGAATGTGCCATACACATGAATTATACACATTAAGTAAAAGATTTTTAATCCTTTTGTGACTAGAATCCATGACTCTCCTCTGAATCAGAATTAGAGAACAAATCTATCTTAATAAAAAGAACTGTACATAAGACAAATTGTAGTCCATCAGTAATATACCACTATACATATGTATGACACTTTTTAGTTTTTGAAAGCACTTTCATATATATTATCTTCTTTTATCCTTCAACAACCTTGTGATATAGATATAGAGCAATAGATATAATGGAATGGAAAGGTTAAGTGACTTACCTAAGATCACATGGCTAGTAAAATGATAGAGCTAGAACTAGAGAAACCAGGCCTCATTTCTATTCCAGTATTATAGGATATGATACTGCTTTTAAGAAACAATGGCAGGTAATCCTTTCCCCATCAAGAAAAACTTATTTTGGTAAATTATAATTTTGGGAGAAATGTTTTCTCTAACATGACAGTGAAAGCCAAATAAAACAAGGTAGGATTTGGGTTCAGATTGTGTTACAGTGAAGATTTTAACTTTCCCAGGCTCATACTATTATAATTGGAAGGACCCTCAAAAGCATCTAGTCCAACCCATACTTACAAAATGGATCACTCTACTACCTGCAGCTTCTTCTAACCATTCCCCCTGGTACTGCCTTCTGGGACCAAGCAGGGGAAAAAAAATTGAACCCCTCTTCTACACCAATGGTTCTATCATATCCTTCCCAACTCCCACTAAATTTTATGTTTTGCCATGTTATACCTAAATATTGCTTGATTAGAGGAAAAACCAAAAACCAAAATAGGAAGGTTAAAGATTATGATATTAAAGATTTATACTTTACTTCAAAAGATTTTATTAGTGTAGATACTCCTTTCACTGGTAAAGACTGTAAAACCCCTCCATGCCAACTCGGTAGTTGCTTTTTGATGATTTACTATGGCCAGAAAAATTTATCACCCAGTGGTCAGCCTCCTTCTGGTAATTAATTAGCTACCCTCTCTGTACTCAGCTGATCTTTGTATAATAGTCCATCTACCAGGCCCATACTTGGTCTTTTCAGCTTGGTATGAAATGCCAGAGTTTGTGCTGCCATCACATCATGTTCCTTCATGCCATAAGACATCAGATAAACACTCTGCTGGAAGAATAATTTTATAGTTAACACATTTTAGAAAAATTCTATCAAGTGAAATATTCTGGAACTCAAGGATTAAATGTGATTTTACTTTAGAAATTTCAGGCTTGGCCTGAAATTATCATCTTAAGTTTACAAACTGGCATGCCTTTCTGTTTTGTAATGTGTCTTGCTTCTGAGAAGTCAATGTTTTTGTATCAATTTAATTATTCACACAGATTCATCAGGCATGCAAGCTAATCTGCCGAAAATGCAAGCGTCATGTGACTGATCTAACTGGACAAGTGGTACAGGAGGGAACAAGGCGCTACAGACTGTGCAATGAGTGCCTTGCTGAAGCTGGCATAGACAGCATCCCCATTGATTTGGGTGCTGAACAACCACTTGCATCCCCTTCAGATGGAGATAAGAAGTCAAAATGGCAACTGAGTGAAGGACAAAAAAAGTCTTATGTGGAGATTGTAGAGGATGGGTCTGCTGATCTGGTCATACAACAGGTTGATGATAGTGAAGATGAAGAAGAAGAAAAGGAAATAAAGCCCAACATTAGGTAGTTGTGAAACAACTGACCTAGCATGTCTTATATTTGAATTCTTATATTTCTCTCTTCCCCTGACAAGAGTCTGGTTAACACATCTATCATATTGGCTTTTTTAAATGACCTGATCTAATTTGCATGCATTTATGGACAAACCATTAAGTTCACATTCTGAACTATATTACTGTGGGGTACCAGTATGTTGCTGCATTGGAAAAGAGGACATAGCTTGAGTTGGCATGACGGATGAACAACTGATCTCTGAACTATAATATAGTAATACTTTTTATATATTAGAAGATCAACTTGAGAAATTTTTCAGTGATAAACATTTAAGATAAATTAACTATAGCCAAACATGAAACTTTATAAGACTTTCCAGATGCTTTTTTATAAAATAGATAAGCTATCACATATTGCATATTCCTGGGGAAAAAAGGTAAGAGCACATTTCAGAGTCTTGCTGCCCACCTCAATGCACTAATAAAAAATCTTTTATGATGATTTCATATCTGGAACAACTGGTTTGTTATTATTCCAAAATGTATAAAATGGCTTAGGAGTTATAACAGAAAACTACAGTTTTAAGATGAACATTGGAAGTTAGAAATTCATATGAAGTGCCATGGTGAAGTACCAAAAGCTGTCAGAGGTGTAAAACTTGCAAAGTGCAGCTGGAATCAGATTAAAACGTAAATGGGAAATGAACAAAATAAATAAAAACCTTTCTATTTGAGTTTGACACCACTGAGTTAAATTGGTGATTGACAAAAAGTGAGAAACAAGACAACATTTTGTTTATTATAACTTTCTAAAAGCAAGAAACCAATACTAAAATTTAGGCTGAAGTATATGAAATCTTGCTACTTCAGTTTTTCTTAGGGAAAATGTAAGAGTTTATATTGTTCTTATTGATTTTCTTCTGAAACTACTAAGAATAAAGGCAAAACCTCACTAAAATGAGAGGCTATTTAAATACAGTAGTTACTAGGCTATTAGAGTGTTGCTTAGTAAAACATTCATTTCTAATAGATTAAAATAATTAGCAATACCAATTGTTTTATATAAATTAATGCTTCTAAAACTATGAAAAGTTTCTATTAAAAAAAGTTTAAAAAATTTTTATTTTTATTACTTAGCATGCTTTAATTTTTTTTAACTTAAGCAAGCAAGTAAATTTCAGTTCTGCCAAAATTATAATTCCAAAATAAGAGTCAAAATTTGTGAGGAATAGCTATGGTGCTAAAATTGAAAACTAGATAGTAGTATTAAAGAACCTAAGCCATTCTGCATTTTAAAAAGTCAATGCAAGTGTTGTCACTTTTAAGTTAGAAATTAATTTTTTTGAGGTTAAAGGCTGCATACTCTTAAAAAATACAAAAACACCATATCACACATCAAGATGGTACCTCTTATTTATTATTTTGTATCCTTTCTAACCATTATCCTTGATACTGATTTGTGGGCATAAAATTATTAATGTATATAAGCACTAATGAAAGACCACTGTCTTTAATGGTATTCTTAGAACTTCATCAGGATTACCCTTACTGAAATTACCTAAAGAATCAAAGCAAGGGGCAGCTAGATGGTGCAGTGAGTAGAGCTCTGGCCTTGCAGTCAAGAGGACCTGAGTTTAAATCTGGCTTCACTAGCTGTGTGACCCTGGGCAAGTCACTTAACTCCGATTGCCTCACCAAAAAAAGAGGGAAAAAAAAAGCAGAGAAATCTAGCTAATGTTCTAGGGTTCTCTAACATAAACATCTCTGAATCAGGGTGCTTAAAGTTGTTCTCTGCTCATTCTCTAATGCAATTGGGAGTAATTCTGACACCTTTCCGGAATTAACAGATTTTAATTAAGAATCTATAAGAAAATAGCTAATTTGAAATTCACTCATCTGAATGAAGTAGTGTCTCCTATATGTACTCGTATTTTACACATTTATGTGCATTTACATATACATATGCACTCTCAAAGTTTATGTTTTGAATTTGCTTTTATACTATTACCCTCTCGCATGGGAATGTAAATACTGGCAGCATGAGTGTTAATATTTCTTCTCAACATATTACCATACCAGGGCACATAGAGTAATTGTATCTTTTCAGAACTGATGCTACCCCTTGACAGTAAAAAGACATTAACCAAGGGTATCATTCCCTACACCATCAATACCCAGATACTTATTAAGTGGGTCCAAACTACTGGGCGCTTCTATTATATTATAGCAAGATATAATTTAAAAATATGACAAATAACAACCTTGCAAATTTCTGATTAAATTATAAAAGATAGGTGTAATTAACTTACAAAAGGATTTCTAATAAGGAAACCTTCTAAATTGTGATTCCATACAAAGTGACTCTTTTCTACATTGATATATTCTATACAGGGGATGCTTAATAAATATTGAATTGAATTTAAGGGGACTGAAAGCTTTGAATATTATATATGAAAAAATGTTTTATGGGACAGTAATTGCTTAAGTAAGTCTTATACTAAGGATTTTTAAATTTTTTAACACAGGAAACTGGTTTAATTTGGAGTGAAGATTACAGTAGTAGACATTTTGTTCCAATCACCAACTTCTGAACTCTGTCACAACTGTCAATGGAAGAGTGTTAACTGATGAGCTTGGATCCTTGCAGAAACAATGTGGAACATAAATTCTCCATTTAAATGCAGTTCTGCCTGGAGGCAGCAAAATGAACAAATAACTTCTTGAATTCTCTGAATTCTATCATCTTAAGGTCTCCTGCCCTACATCACTTAATTGTTTATGTAAGCAAATGAACATATAACAAAGAAGCTGGCTTTTGGAATAGCAAGAGACATTCTTAATATACTCAGCTTTTCCTATAAATATGGCTAAGTTAGCTCTGAAGTTTTCAATGAAGGTCAAAACTTAAATATAGTATTTAGCAACATTAGCTCTGAGCAATTAAATTAAGTCACTTAACCTGAGTCTCCTTTTCCTCATCTATAAAATGGAGGTAGTATAATACAGTGATAAGAGCACAGGATTTAGAGTCAGACGACCTCAGTTTAAATTTGTCACTGCCACTTACTACCTGCATGACATTGGGCAAGTCACTTCACCTCTCTAGGCCTCAGTTTTCTCATCTATCAAATGAAAGGGTTGGACTACATGACCTCTAAGGTTCCTTCCAGCTCTAAATCTATGATCCTGTGATAAAGCATGGGGATGGCTTTAATATAAACCAATTAGAGTTTGATAATTTAGTTCCACAAATATTTATTATCTACTACATACAAGGCACCAATACTTACTTCTCTCAAGGAGGTTACATTCTACTGACAACTTAAGAGTTATCAGATGGTTGTTAGTTAAGTATTATTCATTAAAAATTATTTTTATAACTCATGTGGCCTGATGAATATGCCTTCCACTTATATTTTCAGCTTTTATATTTTTTTGACTATAAAACATTAAGAAACAGTATATTAAAAGTTTAATTGGTATATTATGTGGCACCATTTCCAGAGCTTTCTTGACATTCAACTATACATGAAACCTCAAATTATAAGCAAAAAATTATATGTTACATTTTGTTAAGATTTACTAGTATTCGTATTTAGCCTTTATACTGCATTTTATACTTGCAAAGTGCTGTAATCATTATCCTTCATATATCGATGAAATAGGGCAGTTATTTCACTTTAAAGATAAGGACTCTGAGGCACAAGACATTTAAGTAACCTATAAATAGCCAGTCAGTGGCAGTAATAGAAACTAAAACCATCAGATTCTTGGAATTCTAAAATATTATGTACTACTTGGCTCATTAAACTGTAATGTTTATCACTAGTTTTATAAGGTAACTTTTTACAAATAACATTCACCTGTTTTAAAGCATTGTATGGATATACCATATACAAAATAAATATTGTTCATATAAATCAGACTACTTTTAACTACAGGAGTTTTAAATGACATGGCATTTAGGTTTTCACAAAAATGGAATTAAAAGTACATTAAGACATTTTGTATGTTGTTAAATGTAATTCCTATTATTTCCAACTTTTTGTTTTGTTATTCAATCAATCTTAATTGAATTTTTGTGCTAATGAGAACAGAATAGGCTGGGAAAAGAAATTAGTAAGAATCCTCAAACCTCATTTTAGACATGTCAACATTCCCCCCTTCCCACAAACTTTTAAATCATATTTGTTGGCAAATAATCAAATAGTACACTTATATGTCATTTCTTTTCCTTCTATGGCCCATCCTCTAAGAAAAAATGCTAAGCAAATTAAGCTTTAAAACAGCTACTTATTCCTTTTTATTTGCTTTTCAGTTCTTTGTTCATATTTTTGTTCATTTGTAGAGCATTTGTGAAATAGCACATATTCATTTGTTCTTAGGACAGTGGTTTTTCATACTATAAGGAAGGTACCCTTAAGTGGACAACTGTGGTAAACTTAGGGAAAGATATGGACAGGAGTTGCACAGGATGGCTTCGTAAGAGTAGGGTTATGATCTGCATATTTGGAGGGAATAGCCATATTGATGACATTACAGATCGTTTAGGTATCACCCCAAAAACTTTAGCCATGAACCTAAATAGACAAGTGTGTGTGTGTGAGTGTATATATATATATATATATATATATATATATATATAAATGCGCCACCCTTTTGGGAAACAACTGAGAATTTACCACTTAGCTTCTACTTGACATCTCAGAGTTTGAGGGAGGCAATTTGATTTATATTTACCCCCTAAGAATGAGTACCTTTTAATTTGAGAAGGAAGAATTTGAGGTTTATTTATTCTCAGAAGGGAGTGTTATGGTCTGTTTATCTGAATTGGTCTACTTTTTTTGTTGGTTAAGAAGTCAGCTCCAGGAGGCTACAACTAGCTCCCTGAGGGCCAATCCTGTTTTCAAAATGCTGATTTTAAAATACTGTTTAAAACTATAAACTCCTGTTACTTTAATGAGATGCTATAAATTTATGCCCGAAATAAAAGTTATTCATTATCTGCACTGGAAAAATAGTTTCACTTTTCAATATCAACCATTGTTTACTTTGCTCCTTCAGAGGTGCAAATAGAGTAGTCTCTCATTTAACCCAATAACCCAGAAAGAAACTGGAAAGAAAAAAGGACATCTCTAATCTCCCAAGGAAGCTGTAAACTGCAAAGACAATTCTGCCTAGACTCAATCTGAGTGGTGCTTTTGTCTAAACCTAGTATGGAAAGAATGGAGCACAAAGTAGATTAGAATAGAAGATCAGGAAGGGGAAAGAGGACAACAATCCAATCAGGCTTTCATAATGTACCCTAGCTTCATATTTTTAAAGTGTTATGAGTTACAGAACACAAAAGACTTAGCCATATAATTAAAGCACCAAAAAAAAAAAAAGCATCCCAAAGTTTTTAAACTTAGTTTTCAATTACCTCCTATTTTGGATTTTCCATGCTATTACTCCTAATTATTACTTTTGTCAAAAGAAAAAAATACCAAAATTCTACTTTGTGTTAAGCATAATTATGCCAGAAACAATATTATTATTTTAACACTAAATCCAAGCATTTGTTGCTTAGAGAAAGATGGGTGTCCAAACTGTCAGAATTGCTTCAAGTCCTCAGTCATGTCTCTACCCTAAGACAATTTGAGGTGACATTTACAGGAATCTTGAACAAGAAAAAGCTGCAATATGTTAAAAATACAGTTTCTAGAACAGAGATTTTTTTAACCTGAGAACCATGAATTTGGACAGAAAAGAAAAAGTGTCTCTTTATTTTCATTGACCTCTAACTGATATTTAGCATTTTATTCAATTATTCTGTGAAGCCTACCCCAGACTGCTAAAAGGGGTCCTTGACAAAAAAAAGGTTAAGAACTCCCTGTTCCAGAACAAATCACTTAATCTTTCTTCCTTGACTGCTGTCCTTAAGGAAAGGGCTTCCTCTCTATGATTAATACCTTCATCTTTTCAGAACGGAAAACAGGGCACTGTCCTGAGGTGAGCTATTGTCTCGATCACTTTAGGGGATGAGAAAAGAAACTAAACAAGAAGCAATTTTTGTTCTGTTTAGTTATCACCCTTTTTTCATTTTTCAGAGGCCTTAATTTTTTGTTCCTGACCTTCTACACATTTTACTAAAGGGAGTTCCAAAAGGATTTCAGGCTGTAGAAATATTCATCTCTTAATATTTTCAGCTTAACTAAAAAGGTTTTTAATATGCTTCTACATTCCAAATAAGATAATTTACTAAAACCAGAAAACTGAAAAAACCTTAATGTTTTTATGACCAAAAAGTACTTAGCATTTACAACAGTGGGAAACAAATAGAAATATTGCTACATATTAGAACCCTTTATTTTGTTTTGTTGTTTAGTCATTTTAGTTGTGGTCTGATTCTCTGTAACCCCACTTGGGATTCTCTTGGCAAAGATACTGGGGTGGTTTACCATTTCCTTCTCCAGTTCATTTTACAGATGAGAAAACTGAGCCAAACAGGATTAAGTGACTGGCCCAAGGTCATACAGCTAATACAAGTCTAAGACCATATTTGTACACCAGAAGATGAGTCTTCCTGACTCAATGCCTGGCACCCTATCCACGGTACCACCTAGCTGCCCCAGAACCTTTTATAGGTAAGTTAAATTAGACCTTTTTTTAACTGTTTTCAATTAATTAATAGAAAAATAGTGTTCAGGACATTAACTACATCAGTTTGAAAAACCTTCAAGTAAGATTATGAACAAAAGGAAATTTATCTTTACTAAGTAAGATTGTATTATATACAATGTTAGACTTGGTGCCAAGTCACCTTGACTATTTCTGGCTGTACCATTTAAATACTATGTGACCTTGAGCAAAAACACTACGTCTCCAAGCTTCAGTTCCTTATCTGCAAAATTAGAGTATCATGCCATAGATAAGTAGGCTCCAAGATTCCTTCCAGACTAAGTATTGTAGCTGATGAGTTATAACTTAAGTAAAATAACCATTTTCAATTCCTAAATTTAGCATTAAGTATCCTATGCAATCCATACCTTTGAAGTATTCCTGCTTCTAAAAGGTAGCTCAGATTGCAGCAAAGCAAGGATGACAATTATCTCCATCATTATTAGCTACGGTGCTAGAAATTTTCTGATAGCTGTAGCAAAAAGATAAGAAAAAAAAGTGAGGGAATAAGCATAGACAAAGGAAGACAATATTATCTCTTCAGAGGATGTGATAGACCTCCAGAAAATAAAAATTTTATTGAAAAAATAGCTTTTGTAAAGTAATAATACAAAATAAATTCCTCCAAAGCACAAGCATTTCTCTGTTACTAACAACCTAGGAGGACGAAAGAAATTCCATTTAAAACAACAACAAAGTACACTAACTATCTGGGAGTTAACCCATCAACATACACACAGGAGATATAAATACCACTACAAAACAATGTTCACAGCAATAAACAGACCTAAATGCCTAAAAGAAATTCAATATTTGCTATTGTATATCATATAAAATACTGGACTAACTTTTCTTCTTAAAACCTCATCAAGTCAATGAACATTTATTAAGCACCAGCTCTGTGTCAGGCACTGTACTAAGGGCTAAGGCCAAAAGAAAGGCAAAAAACAAACCCGGCATTCAAGGAGCTCACAAATTAATGGGGGAGACAATATGCAAACAACAAATGTATAAACAAGCTATAGGAAAAATTGGAAATAAGCACTGGAGGGAAAGCACTAGCATTGAGGAGGATCAGGAAAAGATTCCTGCAGAAGGTAAGATTTTAGTTGGGACCTGAAAGAAATCAGGGAAGCTAGGACATAGAAATAAGAAGGGAAAGAATTCCAGGCATGGGTATAGCCATTGAAAATGAACAGAGTAGGGTGGTGGGAGTATCTTCTGCTAGGAAGAGCAAGGAGGCCAAAGTAGCAAAACCATTAAGTCTGTAGAAGAATAAGAAGATAACTGGAAAAAATATAAGGTTATGAAGGCTTTAAAAACTAAACAAAGGATTTTATATTTGATCCCAGACATCACCCCAGAGCCAAAAGAGTTTACTGAATTGTTGGGGGGTAGGGGGGAGAGGAAAGGTGCACACTCATTGTATA